TTCCCTACAGTCTGTGATTGTAAAAAGTGTGGAACGAAATGCCTTAAATATGTACGAGGCCCGGAAATGTCTCTTGGGACTTGAAAGTAGTGGAATTACCATAGCATCAAATCCCTCTGTCTCATGCCCTGTTGGTTTGTCTTGTCCTGGTTTGGATATATTGTCCTCAGCAGGGCTAGGACTCACTGGGCTTGGTATGCCTTCTATTCTATGTAGAGCTTTTTTTTTTTTTCATAAATATATATATATAGGAAACTTAATTCACTTGTACTAAAAAAAAGCACCAAAAACCAAATGTGTATTTGCATGAGGAATAGTGTTATAGCATTAGAGAATTCCAAAAGCATCTGGCCTGTCAGGGGCTTGTTACAAAACTTTCTCCAGGACTTTTGTAATCAGCTGTGTGACTCATCTCTATAGAAAATTGTCCAGAAGCTTGCAAACCACTCAGCTGAGAGTGAAATACAGGTGAAGTAGGACACTGCTTTTACAATTTTCAGAAGAATCTCTTTAAAATGACATTTTTCTTTAGAAATATTGTGATGTCTCAGGCTGTCCTGACTGTGGGTAGCTACTTAAGCCTGTCAGCAGTACCATGGTAGTTAACACAGCTAACACCACATTTCAGTTCTGGGTGTATCTCTGTGAAGGATGCACATGTTACTGGTTTAGACCTTACTTATCAGTATGAAATTTAGGACAGAAATGTGTCAGCTTACTACTTTAATGTGATTTTATAGAAGCACATAGTCCAAACTGGATCTACCATTTTATTTTTCAAGCTCTGCAAATACCTTGTTATCAGAACTGTAGAGAAAATCAAACAGTCCCAGAAGAATTGAGTGACAGCTCTTGATGCTGATTCTTGAAACCTGGAGTTCTCACGTAACCATCATGTTCCTTTTGACCTGCCATCCAGGAGTACTATGTAGTTCTACATCAGATGCTTTCTTAGGGGTCACACAGGGAAGGACAAGTACTTGTGCCATTTGACTGTGGTTTTTAAGGCTGCTTTTGTCACCATTCTTGTCATGTCTGCACTTTGGACTTGTGTTTTCACATCTTCAGAGTGTATTGCTGAGCTGCCTTGTGAATGCATGAAGAGCTAGTTTGAGGGAATGCTTTGGAAATAAGCAATGCATTTGGAGGATGATTTGCAGTCAGTATTGAAAGTTCAAAAAGGAGCTGAATAGTTTAGCATGGAAGTAGTGGTTCATTCATATGAGCTTCTGAGACAAAGGTTTTTTTCTAAAATGGAAGTAAGAATATAAAGTGGAGTTGCTTTCCTGCTCTCTAGGTGATGCTTCTTTGAAACAAACTTGTGGAAGCAATTAAAGAAAACCAAAGGGCTGGTGGGGTTTAGAAGTACCCAGTGCAGGCTTGTTCTGACAACAATTAGAGTCCAGTAGAAGGGCATAAGAGATTCTTGGATTTATGGTTCCCAGTTTAAGAGTGCTTGTCTTTACTGTGTTCTCTGCCCACAATTAGCAGCAGATTTAGTGTTAAAATTCATTGACAAAATACATGCTGGTGCAATTTAGTGGGTTTTTGGTTGGTTTTAATTGGTACTTTAATAAAAATGGTTTTCTATAAGTCTTAACTAAATATTCACTTGTATAATTTTTTTGCAGGACTTTTAGGTCCAACAGCCCTGTCAGTCAACACCTCAACTGCTCCCAACTCCCTTTTGAATGCCCTTAATAGCTCTGTGAGTCCCTTACAGAGTCCAAGTTCAGGCACACCTAGTCCCACCTTATGGGCAACATCTCTTGCTAACACAAATGCCACAGGTTGGTAGAAGTTAAATGTAAATTAATTAAATTATGCAACAGTAGGTTGTTAGCCTGACAGTTGAAAAATCCAGAATAATTCATTCTTTAAAACCTTAATCTCTAAGTTTATGTTAACACAGCCTAATAAGTACCCAAATTTACAGTTATAATGTAATATAAATTTATGTAATGTCATCACATGCATTGTTTTGATCTGTTTTGTATGGGAAAATAGGATAACCTATGAAGTAATGGCTAGATAAAACATTACATTTTTGGCATGCAATTCTAATGGAAACTTATTTGGTGCTGTATCAAAGCTCCCTAAAGATAGAGATTTATATAAAGTACTACAATGGCTAAGAAAGTTAAATGAGAAACTTAACCAGTGTGTGACCAAATTTTGTTACAGGTTTTTCTGCTATTCCACATCTAATGATACCATCTACTGCCCAAGCAACCTTAACTAGTATTCTGCTGTCTGGGGTACCTAATTATAGTCAAAACACTCCATCTCCACCACCAGGCTTGACTCCTGTTGAAGTCCATGTTAATGGCATGCAATCAGAGAGTAAAAAAGGCTCACCTTCTTTAAATGGCCATGTAAAGGTAAGTGATGATATTTCTGAAGAATCAGATCTGTTTCTAATAGACATCTACTGAGAAAAGCTGAAAGGGAAATCTATAACAGTAGATTCTTAAAGCTGCTAAGCTGGGAAGTAGAACAGTGGTGTTGTCACAATATGACTTAAAGACTGAGAAATGAAACATTGAAGCACATTGTTTTCCTATATCTGGAATGAATTTCTTGTTCTCCTGCACAGATAAGAAAGGGGAATTCTTTCAATATTTCTTTAAGCATAAAAATCACTTCAGTGAATTTTGACAATCATTTCAGACCTCAGATATCAAGTATGTAGCATTGCCTGCCACATCGCTAGGAGAAAATGTGTTGAACAAAAACCACAGTGATCCAGTGAGACAAGCAAGTGCTCATGGTGCCTCAGAACAAGTAGCTGCCAAGTCAAATAGTGCAGAAGGTAAGACTTTGACATATTCTTTTGTATAGTAGTTTTTGTGCAGTCTGTGTACAGTTCATGAAACAAAAATGTAAATGTATTGCCTGTGCATTGGTTTTGCTGCCACATTGAAGGAATCTGGATCTCCCAGATTCGTTGTCAAAGAAAGTAAATAGAAGCTGTAGCATCTGAACTGGACTGTTGATAGAAACACCTTAAGTCAACATAAATTTGCTTATAATTTTGTTCATTCCCTAAAAGCAGAGAGAAATAACCTATGAAAATTTTAATATTAGTTACAGCAGCATAATTCTTTGCTTAAAACAATGTCTGCTGGTTTAAACTACATTCTATCTTTGCTTTTTAATGAAAGAAAAAATATTGCCTTTGAGAAGGTTATTGCATAAAAATATGTGTAAATCAAACCTAGATGACAACGACAAACAATTTATTTGCTGCCTTTTAGGAGCTAAAGGATCTAATTAACTGTTCCCATCATTTTGGGAAAGCCTGTTCCACTTCAAGGTTGAGCAAATATGTGTAAATGCCCTGTTTCCCATGCAAATACTGATCAAGGAGGAGATGCTCTTTAAGGGTTGTGGTCATTTGAAATACTGATTTAAATAGAAGCTGTATTGCTCAACTAAGGTGATAAATGCTTGTAAAAGATATTTGAACAATAAGTGGGGAGCTTTTATTCCAGCAAATGTTATCTATGCAGCTGGCAAGGTTTATTAAAACTGGATCTCAAATCAAGTTTGTATGAAATAATCACTTCCGATTGTCAGTCATCAGATTCAATGTTAACTAAATATTCCTTAAAATATTTTTAAAAAAGAAAATACTTGGTATGTCTACTGTATATATGAATACATTTCTAACTTTTTAACCTTGACAAATCTATTATCCCTGAAAACTATATAAATTTGTACAGAGGAGCAGATTTTGTTCTATATTGGTGATCAATCCCTTCAGTAAGTTCACTAGAACATAAAAGGTTTTCTTTTCACTATTCTCATTGGTTCTGTAGGTTGCAATGATGCTTTTGTTGAAGTAGGCATGCCAAGAAGTCCATCTCATTCAGCAAGTACCAGTGATCTGAAGCAGATGCTGAGCTCTTCCAAGCAGGCCTGTGCTAAGAGACAAACGGTTGAATTACTGCAAGGCACCAAAAACTCTCATTTACAGTAAGTTAAATGTGAAAATACAGATTCATGGAACTTTTGCCATGCAAAGATACTTAATGTGGTTTTGTGAGCAGAAGGGGTAGTTCAGTCATAAGATACTCAAAGAATTTAAATAAATTTGGCTTGATTTTATATCATCTTGGGTATTAATATATCTCCTCCTTTGTTTGATAATTGCAAACTTGAATGCTTTTTTGTACATAATAAGTATTTTTCTTTAGTTTGAAAAAAATAAAAGCCTTCCCTCTCCCATAAGAGCATTTTGTTTTGTTGTTTTTGTTTTCAGAGGGGCTTTCATTAGCTACTTCTGAAGGATACATTTTCACATTTTTCCTTTTTTTTTAATTGATTGCTTTGAGAACAATTCCTAACTGGATAGGCTTTTTCCTTTTGTGTGTACCTGGGACTGTTTTCTTCTTAGAAGAACGACATTCAGGGAGTAACAATGTTCTCAAACACTTGTCTTATTTTTTTGTTTTTGTTTTTCTTTTTCTTAATGAGCCATCAGTGGGAAAGGCTCTTTTGAGTCATAATACATCTTGGTAATACAGGTTTTCTGCTTAGCACAATGTTTTGTCCAATCTGCTTTAAGTAATGTTTTGAGTATTCCTTTTAGGAATTGTTTATCATCACTCTTTTTGGATGCATGCTTTCTCTTACCTTGTTTATTTATGCTGTTAAAGCTATTATATGTATTTCATTAATTCTGCTTTCATAGTTTAGAAATCCAAGAATTCCTGCTATTCAAACTCAGTTGTTTGTATGTAACTCAGCTGTTTGTATGTCTTGTCCTTTTTGTTCAGGATGCAGTGCCCACAGCTCCCTTAGTGCATTTTTCTGAGGTAGTCTACAGCATCTAAACTACTTTATTTTGAAGTAATTTCTACTCTTCTAGAGTAGAGATGCTCTGGCTTTTAGGACTGCACTTACCAAAGCTTCAAATGCAAGTAGGACCCATGTTGACTTTCTTAGTCCCCATTATACATATCTCTTTATCTTACTACTTTCAATCTGTTAGAACTGCTGAGCTCCTCACCTGAGCAAGGCTAAATGGTATGAAGTCACACTGTGTAGACATTGCATGTGATAATTGCAGACACCAGGTAGCTCGAATCTAAATCTATAAACTGAGCCTCATACTTGGCAATATAGGAAGCAGCAATGTGTGCTTTATTTCACTGACAGTGTAGCAGGTAAAAGGAAGTTGAGGCTTTGGAAATATTCCTAAAAATGCTGAAATGTGTGTGTTGGCATTTTTTACTTTTGCTGCTAGACTTCTCAGGATAAAGCTCACTTACCAAAATTGCATTGAATTTTCACTGCTGGTGAAAAAGACCAGAGTTAACAGTGACTTTGCTCCCACAGTACTGCTGAGAGGCTGCTCTCAGATGCAGAGTTATGTGCTTCTGAAAGTCCCATGGCTGATAAAAAGGCTCCTGGAAGTGAACGGGCAGCAGAGAGAGCAGCAGCTGCCCAGAACTCTGAAAGAGCACGTCTAGCTCCACAGCCCTCATATGTAAATATGCAGGTATGTTTCCCTGAATAAACCCAAATCTAGTACAAAACTTGATAAATGCAAAGTGAAATTACCACGGAATGCCAAGGTGACTGATCACCAGCAGACTGACTTGCCCTTACCATTTCAGTAAAAGCTTTTCCCAACAAAGTCATTAACTCTTTCACCTAATGAGTGGCTTGGCAACTAAAAGTCTTAAAGAGAAAATAGCCTTTATGCTTCTGTTGGAGAAGTAGTATTTCAGGACAGAATAAATTGCATGGCTATACTAGTCTGCACATCATTTGTGTGTAAAAAAATCTTACGTTGTAGCTCTGAGAGAATTATGTATACGAAAGACAACTTTTCAGAAGCAATGTCAAAGAACACTTTTTCTGTAGCATCAGGTTCATATACAGGGAGATTTACTGGAGTAACTAGACTGGTTTTGCTTAACAAATATGGATCTGTACATAGACTTCTTGTTTTTCTTATACTGTTCCTACTTAGTTAACTATAACCTACTACTATGCTATAAACGACTTCCATGTTATTGCAAATGTCCCCAAGGAGAGAGACTCCTTTGACTAGTAAAACAGTAGTAACATAGTGGTTTTCAGTAGAGATCTATCAGTGTGGGCATAACTAGACTGCATGGAGCAGTGGAACTGGATTAAGGTTGGTGCTTTGCAGCCCTTTTCCTTACCAGAGCTCCAGTTTAAGTAGTGAATTTGATGCTTCAGGCTAAAAACTGCACTTATTTAGTTTTGTGTGTGTTTGTGTGAATCTAATTCAAAGAAGTGTAACTTATTTAACTTGAGATATCCAAACTTCCAGTCTACCACTGTCATAGGAAGAGCAAATACAAGATTTTTTTAATTCTCTCAAAACTTAGGTTCTTGTCCTTTCAGAAGTGCATGGAAAAAAACTGCACTTGAAAGATTATTAAAAATAACTATGATGCCTAGATTTGCTGTTTAAGATAATATATATTTTTTTTTTGTGCTCTTGAGGAATATTTTCCATGTTAAAAGCAGATGATTAAAGATAAACTATGCTTGAAAAGCCTTATTAAAAATTAAAAGTCTGCCTAAGCAGTTGGTAAATACTGCTGTAGCGTCACTCCGATGGATATCGGATCTACTTAGTCTTTGTTATCTGTATTTGTGTGAATGCTTTAACTAATGCTGTAACTGGAGTGCTGTCAAATTATTGTGCAGTGCTTCAAGTCTCTCCTAGATGTATTCACTGTCCACGCTCAAAACCTTTGTTCTTTACAAAGAGCAGAGTACTGTAATGGCATTAAGTTAGAATGGCAATTAAAGTATCTTCTGCATGTTTAATTTTTAGGCATTTGACTATGAACAGAAGAAGCTACTAGCAACCAAAGGTATGTGGATAAGCAGTGACTTCTGGAAAGTTGGTTAGTATGTGGCTGAAATACAGTTTTCTGAAGTATGAGTTTTATAATTGGTGTGGGTTTTAAATAAAATCTAAAGGTAGTAGTGAAACTTTTGTATATTAGTTTTCATGTTACAAAAATTTATTACCAACATGATATAAAATAGAGTATCAACAACTAGCAGATGGAATGCTTTGTGTGTCTGTATGTCCTTATGCAAATGATCAATATTTTTGGAGACCTAACGGCTGTAATATGGGCTCTTATTTGAATGCAAATTAAACTTTAAGACACTCATCATATTGATGAAGTTGCTTCTTATTTCAGGGGACTTAACTATGTCCTTGACCCTGTTTAAAAATAAACCAAATGCTCCCACACCAAAAGAAGATCCCTCTTTTTTAAACTGATACGATTTTGTTGGTGTTTAAGGGGTTTAACTGTCTTCTGACAGAGTAAATTGCCCTAAGGAAGGGTAGGATTCAAGCTGGGTAGCGAGGGGCAGTGTTCAGAAATTCCGGTTTGGTGGGTTGAAGTCTATTAGCACACATGACTTCAGGGTTGTTATCTCAGGATCTTTACTAAGGTTGAGATTTACTAATTTGGCTCTGCGTTTTTTGCAGCTATGTTAAAAAAGCCAGTGGTGACTGAAGTAAGAACTCCAACAAATACATGGAGTGGTTTGGGGTTCTCTAAATCTATGCCTGCAGAAACTATCAAGGAACTGAGAAGAGCAAATCATGTATCATACAAGCCATCTATGACAACTACATATGAGGTATAAATAAAACTATACTATAATGGAAACTTTATTTCTAGTGAATGATACAGTTGTTTCTCTTGAAGTATCAAATATTGTTGTAGTATTTTTAGCTTTCCTCTTAGGCTTCTAAATACTTGTTTCTTGTGGAAAATGTTTCTAATGCAAATATTAAGGCATATGGAATACATTCAGCTCAACATACAAAACTATATCTGCTTTATAAAAATCTACTCCTGAAAATATATTTATTTGAAGAAACTTAAAACAGCTTATGAGACCCAGATATCTTAATAATTGTAGGCAAGTGGTAGAAATTTTGTAGTGTAATTAAAACAAACAGCATGTATATAATAGATAAACTGTATGACATGCAACACTGCATGGTGGAGCAGAATGTTAGAACACAAAATAGCTGGAGCTCATCTTCTCCTCTATTGGCAAAGCTGTAGAACTGGAAAAACTTTCTCTATTTGCACTACTCTCTGGGTTCTGAAATTTCCCAGGGAGTAGGCAGCATAGAATTCAGCAAGTCCTTGAAGAGTCCCACCATGAGAATCTTGCAGGGAATTTATGTTCCTTTCTTTTCAAAGGTGTTAAAAAATTGCTTTTTCATGTGTTTCCTTGCTGTAATCTTTCCCGACTTCCACAGAGACACCTTTTTTCTTCATTTCTGTTCTATTTATATCAAGTATAAATGGTACATGTCTTCAGGACTGGGGCATTGTACAGCTTTTTTTTTCTAGGACACACTTGTCTTTTAACACAAAAGAAATATTCAACCATGGTAAAAATGTCCTTGGTGTTCACCAGTTGTCATTCAACTACACGCAATAGGTTTGGATAGATGTAATGAGCTTGCAGTAGTAAAAAAAAAAAGCTACAACCAAAATAGTGATGTATTATTTTTTAACATATTGGTTGAGCTGGAGTGGAGTTCTCCCCTGACTGTGGTGCACTGCTGAGTCTCTAAGCAAGCTTGTAATTCTAACCAAGATCACTGCATTGTAGTCACTTCCAAGTCTTCCCGTGTGCAAACCACAGGTGTAGCTCTCTCCAGTGAAATGAGGCCTCCTGTATCTGTTGTTTGGTGTAAGCTATTGTGGAAAAATCTGGGGAAACTGAAACACATGGATTCCTTGTATCCTTCTGTTTAGCAGTCTCCACATCACTGGTACTAGAGGCAGCAGCACCATGCTTTCTCTGTACACATTTGATAGTTCATGTAAGACATGGTAGTGGTATTATAGCCTGAAGTCTGGTAAGTTAATTTGTAAAATAAGCTAGTTAAATATATTTAATCTTAACTGTGATATTTTACCATGCATTCAGTTTTCCAGAAATAATGGGTGATATCATCTTATTCACAACTCTTAGCTTTACTGTCATCTACCACAGAGACTTTTTTTCTTCTTGCTTTTCTATAAGACTTGAATTCCTGCCTTTCTTCATTTGTTGAGTCATTCTAACCAAAGCTCACACCTTCCCTATTTTCCCAATGATAGGAGCTTTTGCCTATTTTGCTTCAGTGTTGACAATTTTCCTGAACAGTAGAAGATTGCTGCCTCCTAAAATATGCTTTTCAACTGCAATTCAATGTACATGAATAGAATTAAGTTGTTCATTTGGTTCCACAATTTTTAGTTGATCTGAATGTGTGGAGTTGGTTTTTTTTCTTGGAGGGGAAGGTGCATTTGCACCCAATTCCATAGTTAAATGCTGCTTTCAGGGAATAATGTTGCCTTAATATGGAATATTCTGCCCCACAGTGATGAGCATTGATAGTACTATATAGGAAAATGAAAATCTACTTAAAAAAATAATATGAATCCACAAATTCACCAACCATTGCAGAGTTGTTGTTGTGTTCCATATTGTTGCCAGATGTTGTGTGATTGATCCACTTATCTTCAGATGGATGTTCTGTTATGCTCTGCTCCCCTTGAAGGTATACAGTTGGTAGACTGCTTTGCCTAGAATTTGTGTGGAAATTTAATACCACAGAACTTTTTGGAAGCAAACTTGGAACTACTGAGTAATTTATTTTGAAGTACAGTCTTTAAATAACTTCTCCTTAAAATCTGTGGACTGCATATGTTTTAAGCACACCTGCTGCTTTTGTGTCTGTTTTGCAGTTATTTGACAATTGGTCGACTGCCAAGAGAATGTTTGCAAACATTAAAAGCTGTTTTGTTTAACTGAGTTGCTTCAAAGAAAACATCTGAGTCACAATGAAACTTGTGTTTTATGCCCAAATTTTCTGTTTGTTTGGGGTTTTTTTATTTGCAGGGTTCATCCATGTCTCTCTCACGGTCCAACAGTCGGGAGCATCTGGGAAGCGGCAGTGAATCTGATAACTGGAGAGACCGGAATGGGCTTGGACCTGCAGCTCATAATGAATTTGTCTCCTCAATTGGCAGCCCCAAACGTAAACAAAATAAATCAGGTTAATAATTTCTTAAGATCTCATTTAAATAAAAAAGAACATTTATGTCAGTGAAGGTGTATTTTGATATAAATGTTTCCTGACATCACTGGGAATTTAAATTACCCACACCTGTGAAGTAAACTTACTTTACAAATTGAAAAAGTGAAAACATGTGCAAGATTCCATAATGTGATACACGAATAATGGTCCAAAAGGAAAACTCTTAAGGAAATTTTTTAAATGCAAGACATTCTTGCAGAAAGCTATTTGCCTTGGAAGGGGTTTTTCAAGCTGTACTGTAAACAGACCTATATAAAAGCTTGTTTCTAGGCTAATATTCTTCTGCTGTGTTATCAATACAACAACAGCCTTGTCTTTATTGAGCTATTTGCTCACTGGTGAGGAAATCATAATTTCTACTGGTTTCCAATTTTAAGTCATTGTTCTCTTTATGGTAATGAAATGTTTGACATGGCCTAGAACATTATTTTAGACACTGGTTTCTGTGGATACAGGCTTTAAATTTTGTAGTTACATGTTGAACAGTGTTTAAAATGTGCAAATGAAAATTTTACTTCAGTTGAACTCTGAAATTTAAGTTAATTTTTTAAAATAACTGAATATGTGCCTTTGTGAAAGGGTGAAAAACAGGTAGAGAGTAATGGTCCATAGTAACTCACTGCATTATGGGGAAGTAACTACTATGGCCTCTTTTACTTTTTTGTTTCTCTTATAAAGATGAGTAAAACTTAACTGCAAATTGCACAGATAGTTGAAGTTGGACATTCTAAAAAAGGATAGCTGAAATTAGAGAAAAGATTAATTATTTGTATACTTGTAATTATTTATTATTTTGAAAAGCATATTTGTTCAGCTGTGTAGGGCTGCACAGCATATTTTAAGTACTCACAGAACAAAAGAGATTAAAAGTTTATCTTTGAAATCAAGCCATTGATGTTTCCAAATTACTTAGACAAAAATGGAAGCTTAATTAAAATAATCAAGGATGTAAAATGTCTTTACATATGCATTAGAAGAAAATCAGAAACGTGACTGTTCTGTAGCAGCTGTAGCTTTCTGAGATAATGAAATGTGTGGAGGAGGGACAAAAGAAATAGCTATGAGTTGGCTGGACAAATTTATCTAATGTATAGGCACCAGTGGGTGAAAGTGTCGGTTTTTGTTGCCACACTTGCATAGTGTTGAATTTTTTTGTTGTTTCTAAGGTAATGCTTCCTGACTGCACCAGTAAGAAGTATTTATTAATATTCAGCTTTCAGTACATGATCTTGCATCATTTGCTCTGAGTGTAGGATCATTAACTGCAGTTTGGGTATTTTTAGTGTTTTCTTCCTCTGATAGTGAAGAAATTGAGGGACCACCTTTTAAAGTGTTAAAAATCAACTTAGTTATTGTTCCATTTGTCCAACTTAATGTTTGCGTTTTCAAGTCCGAAAAGTTTGCTGTATTTTAAAACTTTGTCCAAAATGGAGTTGAGGTTGATAGAAATTCTCCAATCTCTGTGCATCCAATCCCAAATGCTTCTAAACTACCCTTTGCCCCGAAAATAAGAAATGTAGCATAGCCACTTGTGGGAAATGGTGAATTTTCATATCCCCACTCTGGAAAGGATCACTTACCTCCTGCAAGCCTTGTATGCATTCACTGTTACTCTTTACTTTGTCTGTAGCAAGAGAGAGAGCACTCACAAGGGCTCCAATTTACACAGGTGTCTGGTGCCCTCCCTGGGAGCTATCCTTTTCTTACCCAGCATGAGGAAAAATAATTATGAGCTATGTGGTTACATTATGCACACCCAGAGGCAAGGGATTGCACTGCTAAAGCAGTTCTCTTGGGTTTCTTAAGAACCTCACCCTGGAAACTTTTTTTAAAGATACACCTTTTAGGGATGTAATTTAATACTGCATAGGGAGTTTATTTCCAGTTTTAGACTTTTATAAAACTCTTGCATTTTTTTTTGTCTTCACTGTACTAAAATAATAGCCAAATTGTGTAGCTACTGTGTAGTTCCTTTACTCAGAGTTACTCCAGCATAGTTTTCTCCCCATGCAGACCAAAAAAGAGCTGGTTGCATTTGTGTGCAGTGGTATTTTCCAAGATATTCACTGGAGAAAAGAGGAGAGGGTTTAAGAGGAGGATAAGCAACAGGGTCCTGCAGCTCTTTCCCCTGTACGAACTCCTGACTTCTATCCATGTGACAGTTCACATAGTGTGATTTTATTCTTTCTATAGAAAACGAGCACTGGAACTTGACTAAAAAATTTGCTTTACACTGTTCTCTCAGACCACTGAGTGTCTTTTTTTCTTTAATAATAGATTTAAGTATTTTGCTAACTTAATGATTTATTTGAATACAATGTTGACATGACAGAAAGTTGTGCATGTCTGTGATATGAGTAAAACGTGCCCTTCTTCTGTTTCAGCTGAACACTATCTCAGTAGCAGTAATTACATGGACTGCATTTCCTCGCTGACAGGAAGCAATGGCTGTAGCCTGAACAGTTTGTTTAAGGGGTCTGATCTGCCTGAGCTGTTCAGCAAGCTTGGTCTGGGCAAATACACAGACGTATTCCAACAGCAAGAGGTTAGTATTCCTTTGAAAGACACCTTTGTGCTTGTAGCATGTTTTCCAGCAGTAGTTTTTCTCTCTCTTGACCAAAGCGATTAAGAAGTCTCACTATTTGGTAGGATTTTTGTGAGCTGTTCTTTCAGAGTCACCCTAGATATGACTACTGTTTTGTCCTACACCTTTGATTTATGTTTAACAAAGAATTAAACTAGGCTTGATGTTATTTACTTTTTTTTCTTTCAAGGAAGTTTAGACCTTGGCTCCTAGTTGTAACCTCAGATGGTAATTTGAATTTAATAGCTTTCTGGTCTACTTCATGTGTAGGTTATAAAAATCCACTCTGCATTCACCAGTAATGTCTTGTCCCAACCAGTGCTGTGGTCACATATATTCATACCTCACCCTTTCCCCAGTGTTCCAGATGGCTACCTTTGATCCACTCCCAACAGAGAGATTACAATCAGCAGTCTGAACGTGCTTTCCACCTCTGCACCAACTAATCTCAGTTGCATCCAAGTAGTAGCATTTAATATCTGTAGATTACTCTATAAGTAGTGTCAACTTGCTTATCTGCACATAGATTATTCTGATGACAGATTTAACTGTGTTATGAGAGTACAGTGAGCCCAGCTGCAGGGTTTACTGGCTGAGACACAGCCCCTCAGCTTGTCCTGAAAGCAGTGTAGTTGTATCTCATACCATTTTTGTTTTGGTTTTCCTTACCTGAAGCCGTGCTGGTTAGGAGGTAGATGAGCCAAGTAGTTTGTCCAAAGCGAAAACTAAGCAATATTTCATGTTTCTGTGATGTGTATTAGGAGCAAAACCCACAAGTAGTTGGTCAGTCATCCTCTGCTAATCAACTAAAGTCTGAAGCACCTATTATATCTACAAACATAAATACCTGGCTATTTCCAAGTACATTAAAGCAATTGTGGTGAACACTTACAATCTCAAGAGTAACAAATAAGATTAGTTTACCCTCTGTGTCTTTCTAAAGCTGCTCGCTTCTAAGTTTCTCTTTTCCAGATATGCAGAGTAGCAAACAGCAACTCTGTGAAGAAGTCACTGAAAGCAATCGTGTCTGTTTGCATGTGAAGAATAGGTTGGCATAATAACTAAAATGCAGTATGAAAAAGAAAAAAAGCTTTTCTGAACTACGTTTAGGCCTTAATACTTTTGAGAAGAGACTTGTTTTGCATAATTCTCCACTTTCTTTTTACTCTAGATTGATCTGCAGACTTTCCTTACACTTACTGATCAAGATTTGAAAGAGTTAGGAATTACCACTTTTGGTGCCAGAAGGAAAATGCTGCTTGCAATCTCAGGTAAGTAACACAGCTTATCATATGTTGATTTTAAGATATTGGTTGCATTCTTCTCACTTGAGTTGTGTGTTTATAGTTGACAAAGGATCTTAGAAAGACTGAAAAGTAAGATCTAATTGGCAGAGGTCATATTGTCTTGCCCCCTATCAGAAGGCACATAAAACTAGGCTTTATAGAGCTTTCACATTACTGCATAAGATTTCAGTTGCATAGTCCTGCATCCCCTTGTAAAGTTGAAGCTTGGTAGAAAGTTTGTTTGATAGCAGATTGTGAACTTTTATACCCCAAAACTGTGGGTCCTAGAAGTTCTGGGACTACAAGCTCTGCAGAGTACAAACAGCACTACACACCAGTCAGAACTGCATTTTCAGGCTTTTGGTTCCCAGTCCTCCAATGTATTGATTAGCAGAGCAATCACCTTCCTGGAAAAAATGCCTGGCTTGGGGGGAGCCTTTACTTTGTTTTTTTTAGTTGTGTTTTTTTGTTTGGGTTGTTGTTTGTTTTTTTTTTTATCAAGGCCAGTTGTTTCTGCAAAGTGTATAGGTTTAAAGAGAAACATGTAACTCTTCCTTGGAATTTTTCCAATGCACCTTAATTAAAAGGTTATCTTGTATCCTACATGCAGAAAGATGAAGGCCAAATACAATTTCTTACAATGTAATGCATTATATAATGTCTAACTAGATTTTTTTTCTAGTTGTAGTAAATAGCATGAGATTTCATACTACATTGTCTAAACAATGAATCTATATCAGAGGAAGAGGGCTTTTTTGGATGCTTCATTGTAACACTAGATGATTTTTCTCTATATTGCATTTCTTCTTCTGATGCCATTAGTGAATGCTTTATATTAATTTAAAATTGTGACAAAAGAGTAAAAATGCAATGTACTCAGCTCAATAGCAGTCATGAAAATCTATATAATCAGTGATTTTTGTATGTCATGGAGGTTGTTTACAAGAATAGAAGAGTTGGGAAAGAGATTTTGGATGGGCATTTGTTAATACAAGCTTAGGCTTCATATTTTAATGAGAGTTGAGCATCTGTTTTTTTCTAAAAGTCTTTATTATAATATTGTGCTTAAAATAAAGAATTGTGCACTGAGAAATTGTGAAGTTGCTCTTGAGCTTTTCTGTCACCTCAGTTTTCATTGCATGGTGGTACTGCAGCCAGACATTGTGTGCGCATGTGCCCTCAGGAAGACTGCAGCAGAACAGAACCTTTTTTTAAGTGTTTCACTGTCAGTTTGATCTAAATCAATGTTGCAGAATATTACCTATTCCATGCTGTACCAGTGCCAACTAGAATTGCACCAAATAGAGGTCTGTATCCCAAGCAGCCCCTGTGAGCCTTAACTTGGCACTCTTACTATCCTATTGAACTGCTAAATTGACCAAGTACCTCACAGCCACTTTCTGTTCGCTCTAAACATTTTGTTTGCTGAAATAGAAGTTTTGCTTTTAATTTAGATCAAAATACTAACATGAATTTCTGACGAGAGATATATTTTTGTGTGACACCTTTACAGAACTGAATAAAAATCGAAGAAAGCTCTTTGACCCATCAAACATACGTGCCTCATTCCTGGAAGGTGGGGCTAGCGGAAGACTGCCACGCCAGTATCACTCGGACATTGCTAGTGTCAGCGGTCGCTGGTAGCAGCAGGCTGTGGTTCAAGGTCAGCTCTAGGGATGGACATGGCAATCCTGTGGACAGCCTTCACTGCACACCACCCTCTGCACTTTGGGAGTTTGGGTGTCAAGGACCAAAGCATTTTGTCTGCACAATCCTGTGCCAAAAAAACAGAGGAAACACATTTTGTCTGTCTTTCAGAACACCAAATGTGGGTTATGTTTTACTTGTGTAGGTTGGACAGAATTTGCAATAATAATAATATAGGGTTCTTTGTTTAGTATTTTATTACCTATACCTATAATGTATGCACTGAATTTTTACTTTGTTGAATGAAGGAAGAATGAAGAGCTGGGATGCCAGAGAGCATAGATTTTGGTTTTATCAAGATGGATTTTTCTGGTACTGCTTAAAATAATTATTGAGGTCTTTCTGCACTTTACATGTTCTGATTTCTTGTCCTGTGGAAATTTATTTCTCTCTTTCATTTCCATATCAATTTTTATATTGGCACTAATCAATTTTTTTTCAGGTGTTCCTGCGTTAAGTCACATCTCACTATGATGGTACTAGAAGCTGGTTCTTATGCAGACTTTTCCCTCTCTCTGGTAGCTATCTGTTCCAAAATCAAGCCACTTTGTAGTGGACCAGTCCTATTATGCTCCTACGAAGCAGTCTAACGCTGCTTGCAATAATGCTCACTGTAATAGATGCAATGAAAGACCAAAATGGACCTTGCAATATTAACCCTTTGCAGTCATCGTATTTAACTGCTGCCTGTTCTGCTACAACTGTTTTTAATGGTTTTCTCAAAGCAAAGGGCTATTTTTAGTACCCTGCCACTAAAGGACACTTATTTATATCAGACTTTTATTTTTAGATTCTATGCACCTATGATACATAACAGATAAAACTGATCTACTGCAGATTTATGGTAGAGAATGAAAGGCATTCATCAAACTAGAGCTCTGGGCTGTCAGTTTGATTAAAAAGACAACTAATCTAATTTGACAAGACAGCACTGTTGCCATTTAATAAATGACGCATATTACTTACATGACTATGCATGCAGCAATTGAGCAACCTACATAAAATAGGTGCAATAGCATCTGTTTTGTTCAATCTAGATTTGTGATTGTCAGCTGCAGAAGTGTTTAAAACTCTGGAGATGAACTATTTCTGAAACAAGTTATGTTCAACAGAGAGAGTCTGTATTGGAAGTGGCTAGAGCTAACTATTGCCTTCTTATACTGTGAAAGTACAAATAATTTGGCAATATTATTTCTCTGTCTTTACAGATGTCTTGTTATGGGTTTATAAAGGGTTTTGATATAATGAAGGAATTCATAAAGTGCCTCTTTCTGCAATGCAATATGAAGTTTCCAAGCGTTAGTTTGTTGAAAAGCATTCCCATAAGAAATGTTGTGAATTACCTCTACTGTAATGTATTATTTATGTTCAGTGTACAAGCCTTTTGAGATGGACATAAACCACTGTCAAGTGCTCTTAACAGAAGGCATTAGAATAACATTTACAGTAGTTGGGTTTTTTTGCAAAAATGGGTGAGAAATAGTTTTGACACTTTCCATGGATAATTCTTTAAGGTGAGAATACAAAATGATGTAGAGAGAAATTTGCACACACAAAGGGAATTTAAAGAAACTATTCCTTGAGGGCATAGATGATCAAGCAATAACGTAAAGCCTTGTTGTGGTCAGCAAAAAAAAACCTGCTCAGTACTAATTTCAGCTGTATCTACTTAATGGTGTCTAGCTGGGTGGCTTCCCCTCAAGATCGAGTAGCAGCTTCCTCTGGTTTTTGAACTTGTATTAGAGATCAGAATGGCTAAAACTGCATCTTATACACACAGTTGTTCACATCACAGTCACTGTGATCAAACGCCAAAAGTCAGTATCCACGTATCTAGGATTTACTGGTGTGTGTGTTACACAGGCAAGAGCAACTTCATGGAAACCCTCATGGAAGCCACAACTTATAAATCTGTTTACACTTGTCCTTACTTCTAAGCATGTAGGGAGTTTCATTCACCCAACTACTTACATGCTTACAGATAAGCTGCCATTGAAATGTTTGCATTTGCAAGACCAGTGTTTGCAAATCAAATTGTATTCAGTCATGTCAATTTTATAAAATATTTTTAATGAAATAAATATTCAGCAACACTTTGTACAGAATTTTCTGCAACCCTTTCTTGCTAATTTTGCCTAAACTTAAGAGCATCAAAAAAACTTTACACTCTTAGACTTTTAGTCATTCATAAGTACATACTATATATCTGGACAGTACTATTCGCAGAGACTGATTTTATTACAGTATTAAGTTGATGTGGTCTTTTGCTGAGCAGTGTTTATATCATCTACACCAAAGTGAAGAATTTCCCATTAACAACATTATTTTTCAATAGGGCTTCACACACAAAAAAAAGAACACACTGGAATAAAAAAATTCTCACTTATTTTGATTCCACAAAGGGAATATGACAGTACAGAGTACCGTATTGTTAGTGTTATATTATGCACAAATATTTGACTTGCTACATAAAAATGTTAGTTTTAAATCTGTGCCTTAATAGTGACCAGTTATCTGTAAATATAGAGCAGATACAGATTGTATTTTTGTGGGTTGTGCCCTTTTAGTGATTTTTTTTTTTAATAAAAGATGAAATTAAAACATGGGAATTTTCAAACTAATCAACGTTGCATAAAATAAATTTATATAACTCTCTTGTATTCTGATTGGTTAATGAACTATTTTTATATAGACCCAATTCTGGGGATGCTTGCTTGTTAATAAAATATAAAAAGCAGTATTTGACACAATTGCAACATGTTTCTTTCACATGCTAATGCTCCGCTTCTTTTACTGTTGTTTTTATGTCACGTATGATGTGTCTGGCTTTTAAATGGGAATGCTTTTTGAGTCAACTCTCCTTAAAACTGCATATGAAAGGAGCTAAATTATCTCAAGTTCAATTCATAGTAGTTTTTTAAAGGTTTGGTTTACATGAGTGTTATTCACTCTTAGGCCTTCCCATTTTAATGACTATTTTGGTGTTGTTCACAGGAGTACTATGTACTGTGTACTCTTTCATGATGGTCATTATACTATCACTTCCAGTGCAGAAGAGAAAAAACAATAGGGATTTGTTTAACTTGGGATGCTGACCACTCAACCAGTCAGAATCTAGCAAGAGGCATAGTTTTCACACTGAGATAATCTGCACATCATGTTAAATCAGTCTTGTCTGTTTGCTTGACATGCAGTTACACAAGTTTAATATTACATACCTCACTCAGACATTTCATTATTCCAGTCTAATGTGTTTTCAATGTTAACTGTTTTATACCCACAGGTCTCCATTTTAATTACAGCATTCCTCACTGACCTTTTAAAAATCTGTGAGTTATTTTTATATATGTGAATACCTTCTGAGAACTGCAGATGTAGGTACAAGTCTAGGAAGGAGACAGATCAACAGACCCTCTGTTGAGGCCAACTGAAGGGTGTGGTGCTGAGCACCAACTAACAAGGCATTGGCTTAAACTACATAGAAATGGCACAGGACCACTTATTTGGGTATATTTCCTCTAATGGACCACCGTGTGGATTCAGTCAGCAGAATGGTAAAGATGGTGTGGGAAAGAGAAGGAATGGTGACGGAGCACCAGAGCTCCGTGGCTGCTCTCTGCAGAGCGAGCGGTGTTCCCAGCAGCTGGCACAGCATGAACAGGATTACTCCATGAACAAAGATTTCACTGTCCTGATGCTCATCACCTCTCTCTACTAACAGAAGGGGAAAACTGGTGATTTCCATTCTGAAGATGTCTACTAAGAATGGAGTCTCCAAGCTATGTAAAGGTTAACAGTGAGACATCTATCCTTAACCGTTTGACCCCACTCCAATCAAATGCCTGGTGGAGGAGATGTGTATTTTTTAAAGCCCTGGAAGATGTAGTTACAGAAGGTGTATGAGTCCTGTTGCAGGTTGGGCAGGAAAGATTGTAGTAGGCAAGGATATTCAGAAACTTGTGCTTGTATTGTGAAGCAAGCCAAGAATGTTTGATTCCAGACACGTCTGGACACTGCTGGAGCTACCTTTAATACTTGAAGAACTGGCATCCTGTGTGTCACTGACATCTGCAGAAAAGAAAGGCTTGGTTTTATATGGAGTTGGTACAGAGTTACTGAGGATTTGAGAAGATGGGAACAGCAAGTGGACTTACAGAAAATTTTGCAATATGCGCCATTGGTGTCTACAATATTTTCAAAAGCTTCTCTGTAAGTGGAAAACTGTACAGACTCGTAGGCAGCTAGGGAAAGTGTTTACAGAATGTGTGGAATGGTTAAAAGGTAAATGAGTGGGAATGGTTCAAAGCTGCATCAGAGGTTTATACTGGACATAAGGAAGCATTTCTTTGCTGAGTTGGTGGTCAGACACAGGCTTCCTGGAGAGGTGGTTGATGCCCCAAGTCTGGCAGTATTTAAGAGACATTTGGACAATGTCCTTAACATGCTTTAACTTTTGTTCAGCCCTGAAGTAGTCGGGCAGTTAGACTATATGATCATTGTAGGTCCATTCCAATTTAAATATTCTATAAATCAAAATAAATTAGCAGAACAGTCATATTTGCCATTTTGTAATACTGACACAACTAATAGTGGTTATTTACATTATTTTTCCTCTCATCTTGAAGGAAGTATACTGTTAAAGAACAGACTCAAATGTAAAACCACTTACTGGAATAAGGTCTAATAGCAAAACAACCACAAGGAAAAAGAAAAATTAACTCACAACTTCTCATCATAAAGCAAATTTTCAGCCTTGAAGGAGAAAAAAAAAAAAAACAAGCTTGGCAAACTCAAGTTGTTGGCTGGATTTTTTTAAATAGTCCAGAAAATACTCAATTATTTGAATTACACATATTTACAGTATATTGATTTGTTGCTTCCAGTACACTTTAGAATATCTTGAGGTATAATTGCGAGAAGTATTCTATGAATTTCTT